GAGACAACAGCATGTGTGTTCTTCATTTTGTTTTTTGTTGTTTTTGTTTAACTGTAAGATGGGCGAGGGGACTATCTTCTCTCCCACATGTTTCTAGAAGAATACAAGCTCTAAGGTGGAAAAGCTTTTCAGGTGGTAAACTGGCCAACTCTGAAATGAGCAAGGAAGAAGATTCTTACAAACTCTGAAGTCTCGAATTTAGTTTCAGATCAAAAGTGGAACCAAGAAAGACATTGGTGGAATGTCTTTGGTGGAAGACAGAGGTCAATTATTGATCCATTTAACAGTTGACTGAAGGGAGTTGCTTCTACTGAACCGAATGCATGAGGCTTGGCCAGGGATGCAGCTTCCAGCCTGAGAAGATCAACTTTCATTAAGGTGACCCTAAGGAAAGGCAGATTGGGCTGGCGATAGAAGCTGTGGGCAGGATGTGGTTCAGAGACAGGTCCTACGTAAGATGTCTGTGAAGCTGGGTTTCTTCTCTGTGCCACAGTCACATGCTGGCATACAGCTTAATGAACACACTCTGAGGCTTGCGGTAAAGTCATTCTCTGAGAGTGGTATTGTACCATCACCAAGGATTTAACATAGGACGGGGACCTGGGCACTCCTGCTATAAACATCATGGCCACACGAGGGTGCACAAAGTCCTAGGTTGTGTCCACAAAGGCGTGGCCCTCAGTTGTGTCCACACACCCTGATTCTGGAGTCTTCTACTCGGCCCAACAACTGGTGACAGCCCCTCTAATGCAAGACAAAGCAGAGGACATGCAAAGGCCAAAAAAGGCAAGAAGTCTTTGGTCTCCAAGGCCCTCTGTCTCGGCCAGAGCAGCTTGGAAAAGGCCTCCCATTCTGCTCTGTGGGCACAGAGGCTGGCTGGACGGAGGAAATGCCCTTCATGGTCCCTGTCTCTGGCCGTCTGGGCCCCTGGTCAAAAGCATTCAGGGGAGACAGCCGCCCGTGGGGGAGTAAGTTGCTTTAATATAAACTTACAGGGAGGGGCCTTGCAGGTGGTTCACAACAAGCAGGGTTTTGGGGAACTGTAGGGGATCAGAAATTGAGGAAGAAAGATTAGGTAATAGGTAAGAAAATGGAATTGCCTACATGGAAAAGAAGAGGAGGAGAAGGGGAAGCTGGCACAACACATGAAGACACCTTCAGGCTGGCATTGGTCTTAAGGGCAGACAGCTGCACTCTATTTATGTTTGTGTTTCACAGTAGCATTTATTTCTTGTACTTATTAAGCATACAATAATTTTTTTTCAAGAAGCCCGTTATTTAGCTTTGCTTTTCTTTTTCAGGATTTAAGATGTGTTTGTAAGAAGGAAGCAGTAACTCTCCCACGAATCAGCGTGCGGCATCAGCAGGAGAGTGAGTGAGCCCTGCCCACAAGACCGCACTCAGCCTCCAGCCAGCATGCTCTTCACGATATTTGCAGAGTTGTGCAATTTTCTTCTCAATGCCAGTTCTAATTTAACTGATTAGTACTAAATTGTCAAACCTTGGGTTCTCCCTCTCAGCTTCTTCCCACCTGTCCATGCCAACCATATTAACTACCCTACACTTTGACTTATTACTGCTTTCTTACATCCTGTAGAACTTTGTATATGTGAGACAACAGCATGTGTGTTCTTCATTTTGTTTTTTGTTGTTCTTGTTTAACTGTAAGATGGGCGAGGGGACTATCTTCTTCCCACATGTTTCTCTCTTCTTGCCTCTCATCCTATATTGATAAAGGTGCCAAAATCTAGGTGAATGTGATCTCAGAATGAAAAGTTCTGCCAGTTTAGAGTTCTCACTAGGTGGTGGTAGGTTTCAGAATGAGTAAAGTTAAAAAGACATTGTGTGCAGCTCTCTCCTCCCATTCTCTCCTGAGGCGTTGGTTCCTTCGTTCATTCTTGCTTTCATTTGCTTAGTGCCCAGTTGGTACCAAGCTATGGGCAAGGTGTTAAATTATGTGCTAGGTGGTAAGGTGCTGGGCCTGTGGACACCCTAGCACTCTTTAATCAAACCCTCATTCTAAAGAAAACTTCCAGAAGAAAGCCCAACTTCTGGCACAAGATTCCAGAATGCCTACGGCAGAATACCTTCCTTAAAACACAGTGTTTATTCCATACTTTTAGTCTGTTATTTATTTTGGTGTATCAACCCCAGGCTTTACCAACTCTTCTCCACCATTCTTGTTCATAGGAGCAATCAGTGTCTTTAGAAAGCAAATCACTAAGCACTCTCACAGAGGTTGTACTTCAAGCCCACAGGTACTTTCTAACACCACCCTATGTTCTCTTAGTACTTATGACACATTGTAAGTATTGATAAATGAAATGTCCTATCTGAATACTTTAACATGTAGCATTCATTCATCTCAAGATATAATCCCATTAGAATTGAGGATAAAATGATGAAATTCCTGCCTTTTGGACTCTGGATTTGAGTTTGAGTTCTGTGTTTACCATAAGTGTTCTACAGAACCTTAGATTTATCACTTAATCTTTTTGGCATAGATTTTCCCACAATAAAACAAAAACAATATTTGTCATGCATGTCTCTATCAATCTCATTGAGAAGTAAACTAGAATAAAAATGTGAAAATACTTTGAAAAACTTACACAGTGAACAGATTTATGATGGTTTTGTTTCTGCTTTGGTTGGAAACATATTTATGCCTTTGAAAAGTCATTGCTAGATGTTAAAAACACATCACATTTAACTGTTAAACTGTATGCACATTGTTAAACAGCAAAAGCAAACCATCCAGATGTTTGGTCTACCAACATACCAACCATCTGGAGGTTTCCAAAAATAGTATTTAATTCTTTATTATAGCAATGGTGTACTTTTTTCTGAAAGAATTCTATGACTCCTGGTAAATTCTATGGGAAAGATTTCATTTCAGTTGGTTATCTTAGGGGAGGGCATGTCAATTACAAACAGCCTTTAAAAATTACCTACATCTTTAAGTCAGTTTTCTGAAAAAGTGGATATTTTTCATGATAAATGAAGAATCCTTTCAAAATTAAGATTTACAAAATAGGGCATTTTAGTTAGGCAAGGACTTGGGACTCAGACACACAGACTTTAAATAACCAAACAGCATAGCTTAATAAAGTATAGCATAATAGGAAGTAATATGTTTTGAGTATTTCCTTTTCTTTTAATATGATTTAATTAATTGTAAATTTACAAAGGTTGGGTTTCAGTCATGGTTGTGTTTAACAACCAGCTCACAATATTCCTTAACATTTAACAATTGACACTCACGAGCCTGTGCTAGCTGTCTCCACTAGCTTTAATCCTTGCAACTCAAATAGTTCTACTATAAGAAACCTCTACTTGAGAGTAAGGTTGGGGAAAAGGATACCTTAAGAAAAACTTTCTTTTTAAAGGATGAATTAATGCCTCTTGCAGCAATTTGTAAAGAACTAGAGACCATTATCCTAAGTGAAGTATCTCAAGAATGGAAAAACAAACACCACATGCACTGTCTAACAAATGCAACTAACCGATGGCCACACAAGTACACAGAGAAAAGTAAAAGTCATTGTAAATCAAGCAGGGGGCAGAGGGAGGGGAGGAAAGGGCAAAAACCCACCTAACGGGTATAATGAACATTATTCTGGTGATGGGCACATTTATAGCCCTGATTCAAGCCATGTATCAAAAAAAAAATCTCTACCCCCTTAACCCTTTGCACTCGGATGTCAAGTGTGACTCAACACGGTTAGCAAAAATTATAGAAATTAAAATTACTCTTTGAATGTGTCAATAATTTGAAATATAAAAAAATCCAAATAAATAAGTTTGTATGAAAAGAAACTCCAGTTTTTTTCTTCTACTGCCGCGCTTTGTAAAATCTGGGGTATTTAAAAAATTAAATCCCAAGTAGAATAAAGGAATCAAGAAAAATGCAAGCAAGTCCAAAGGGTTAATATTTTGAAATAGAAAAATGTATTTTTGGAGAACAATAACAATAAAAATAGAAACCTTTTTACCTTGGAAGAATGGCCTGGAAGTTTGTATCAGACCAGTAGGCAGTGGAGATCCTGGCATGGCATGTCCTGGGGCAGCACCCGGGCTGACACACGCACCTGGCAAGCAGCTTCACCTGGAACACTGTCAGTGCCCAATGACAGAAAGGCCACAAAGGGGAAGAGAGCCACCACCAGCAGGCAGAACTTCCCAGAAGGCCACTGGTTTCAAAGCTCCACGTCTAAGGTTCTATTCTCCCAGCACAGTTATATATGGAAATTTGAGGAATTTCTCTTTTGTTGAATAATTATTAAAACATATTTAGATGATGAAACCTCAGGAAGAAGTCTAGTCTTCCTGTGTGACTGGCCTCACATCATTTCACTTACGCATTAAAAGATCATGTGATCTCCTTTTCTCACATCCACATAGTGCTGCCTGGCTCTCCGTGGCAACACTGCCAAATGACCACAGGGAAGATTTTCCAATTATGTGAGGCTTCAACGCCTAACATGAACCTACAACACAGCTTGAAAAAATACTCATTTTTGAAAATGACCACACAGAAAAACCTCAAAAAGTTGTGTTTTTATTGGCATGATGTTTCATTAAATCAATAGATGAATGAAAGCCTTCCTTTCAAGCTTGATTAAAATGGAAGCAATGGGTTGGGCGAGGTGGCTCACGTCTGTAATCCTAGCACTCTGGGGAGGCCGAGGTGGGAGGATCGCTTGAGCTCAGCAGTTCGAGACCAGCTTGAGCAAAAGCAAGACCCATCTCTACTAAAAATAGAAAAATTAGCCAGGTGTCATGGCACACAACTGTAGTCCCAGCTACTTAGGATGCTGAGGCAGGAGAAGCCCAGGAGTTTGAGGTTGCAGTGAGCTATGATGATGCCATTGCTCTCTAGCTTGGGTGACAGAGCTAGACTCTGTCTCAAAAAAAAAAAAATGTAATCAATGTAGACTTCTCAAAATAAACCATTATATGTGATAATGAAAGAGATGTGCATAGTATAGGATTACACATGATAAAATGAAAAAATGTTTATATTTATTTATTCTTGCCATGATATAGAAAAATACCACATTTATAAGAGCAAAGCAAGGTGAACACGGAGGAGGAACAGGGAACCTGATCTTTCTCTCCTTTCTGCTGCCAACGCCTTCACCCATCAAGTGCTCTCATTTTTTCATAGGCTATCTTAGTAAAACGAGAGAGGGCTTAAAGTACAAATCACCTGTGATTTTACAATTCTTGGTTGACTCTGAATAATTCAGCAGAGCTTTTTGAGATGTTTTGGTCAAAAGCTAGTATCTTTTGTTCTCCATAGAACAGAACTAAGTCATAGCTTTATGATCTTTAAAAAAAACATGAGAGATCAGGCTTAAACAGACAAGCAACTTCTCTAAGTACATCCATTTACCAGTTGGCTGCACTGGTAAATCTATAGAAAGTAGACTGACAAGTGAAAAGCAAATATATCTAAGTACAAAGGTAAAAATACACAAGACTTCCGGCATGATTAATGTTCTTGATTCTTGTCCTGGCAAGGTACCCTCTCAATGAAGTAGACTTTTTCATTCACTTTCTGGTTAAAAGAAAAAGAAAATGTTTGGAAGCCATGGTTATTATAAATTATAAAATAATATATAATAATGATAATTAAATTTTATAGAATTTAAATAATACTAATAACATTACTAAGAGACAATATCATTAGCTGCATATTTTATAAGTGAGAAAACTAATTAAGTATTTTGGCTTAAAGTCCCACAGCTAGTTTTTGGCAGAAAAGACTAGAATTTGAGTTTCCTGAGTCCGTGTCCAATTTTCTCTCTGTGGTTGTAAATTAGACTCTATTTTGCACAGCAGAAGGCATGTTTACCTATCATTTTAAGCCCTTAAAGATATTTTTTTTCAGATACTGTGCTTCTGGCCTGGACACGATTTCCAAAATTCTCGCAGAGCGGATTCATACCATGGTTCACGCAGGCTGTTAAGTGGTGCTTGGTAAATAAACAAGTGATAGTTCTTATCTTGACCTTGTTGGTCCTTTTCTGAGAAAGTGATAATCAATGGTGTTTGAGTCAATTATTTTCATTATACACTCTCTGCAGTTTCAATTCCAGAAAAGATTCAGAAAAAGGGGGAAGGGTAGAGAATAACTCCTCTCATATAATGTATCCTGAGTCTTTCCCCTATTTGTGATTTTTGTTGTTGTTATTGCCATTTTTATATTCAGAGAATATTTTTTACTGAAACAAATATAATATTCTAAGCAGCTGGGTTTTCTAGCTCAATCCTATATGAATAGGATTGTATAAGACACAAAAATCATACTTACATTATGACTCACTGAGACAACTTATAATAAAAGGAATAAAATTGCCAAGTCTTACAGCATGTTCTTAAATGCTATTGATTTTCTGACTACCTTGCAAGTTACAATTATCAGCTCTTCACCAAGAATAAAATGTGTTCATAACCGAGGTTATTTTTAAATATACTTTTCTTTTTCTCATTTTAGCTTGCATTTAACTTATGAATAGTAACAGGAATTTATACAATTTTTGGCACAGATTTCAGCAGCCCTAACCTCACTGATGTCAAAGTCGCCACTTTTCTCACGAGTGTATGTCCACACACCCTTAGTTATGTTCATAATGGTTGCTTTCATTTCCTCTCCAAAAATGAGTTACTTATAAGACATAAATTGTGTTTTAGTGTATTATAGAACTTAAGGACACATCTTTCTCAAAACTGAAATAAAACTGAGAAAATACTTTGTAACAAAGAAAACCAAAGGTCTTACGTGATATGGTTGGGGATGTCCCCACAGTCAGCTTCAGGCTTCTGTTTGCAGGTCAAGGCTTCGCAGCACTGATTGGTGCAATCCTTCAAAGAACACACACAGGGGGGAAAGTGGGTTCAATATTTTTATCCCCATATACTAGGTGCATAGAATTCTGGTACAAGAAAGCAATGATATTCCACTTATTAAACTTACTCTGCTATACAAATTTTATTAGAAATGAACAAGGACATTTAATAATAGGAAAGAAAAATTATGAGCAATGAAAACTATCCCTTAGAAGGCCAGAAATAAACTTATCCAAGAATGACTCCAAATAAATCTGGTCTGGATGATATTAATTTGAAACTTCAAGGAACAATATTTCTATACTATTCAAACTGTTTGAAACTAGAGAAAAAAATGTTTTTTAAATCTCTAATTTATTTTACCAAGCCTGCATTTTCTCATAGTGGGACTTGCAATGAATACACATGCACACACACACAATTCTCACTTATGAATATAAATGTAAAAACGTGAATAAAATATTAATAAAACCACAGATTATTAATATAACTCTCCAACTACGTGAGGTGGTTTTTGTTTTCTTCACCAACCATACAAGGGTATTTCAACTAAGTAGAATAAAGTAATATAATCCATCAAATTAAGAGACTAAGGGGAGAAAATAATTAATATTATTATAATAAATGGAAAAATTTGATAAAAATTCAGCAGCTATTATTGAATTATTTAAGTACACATAAGTAACCTATAAACAGAATGATGCATCATCATGAGAAAGAAAAGCTCTATAGCAAATTGTAAAAATATATCCTACATCCTAAGGATAAGGCAAGAATTATTTATATTATATATTTTAGTGAAAGTTTTAAAAATACCATGAGAAATAGAAAAGAATAAAAATATAATAATTGAAAAGTATAAATCATATTTTCATTATTGTTTGTGCTACAATTCTCTACCAGGAAAAATGAATAAAGATTTTGAAAATAATCAACAAGTCACTAAGATAGCTGTTTAAGATAAAAATAAAGCATCATCAAAAATAATGCTAATGAATTAGAACTTGAAATATAAAACAATATTATACATACAGCAGAAAGAAAAATGGGAAAGTACTTCAGAATAAACTTTTGAAACATACGAGAACTGCATGAAGAACTGTGTGTATATATTTTCTGAGAAACTTTAAAGGCAACTTGTATTTTAAACCTCGTATATTTTCATACCTTAGGAGAGCCACAATCACAGTCTTCTCCCACTTCCAGAAGTCGGTTCCCACACACTGGTTTTGTTATTATGTTTTTAGGGATAGGTGCTTGCAGCAGGCACCTTGGTTTCTGAGATAACATATATCTCTGAAAATGTGAGCGGCAGGATGTACTGAAATCCTTTGGGAATTTTGAACTGTAACCAGAAGAAAACTCAGATATAACAGGACACACCGTGTGGTGGCTTTTGTGTGATAAATGAACAAGAGAATCTGACTTATTGGATCATATAACTGAGTTCAATATAAATTCCAAATTTAGTACTTGCTGAGGAATGCACTGTATTAAATGTGGTGGGCAGTAGAGCATTCATACTAATGGAAATTTTTTTTTCCCTAGAGACCTAGTTGTAGAGCTGGAAGAATTTATATTTTCATGTGGATTCAGTATTGTCCTAAATGACAACAGTGATGACCATTACCATTTACTTTCATCTACTTATCCTGCATTGAGGGATGAGGGGTAAGAGATAATAGTAATGATAAATGCATGAGAGAAGGGACATAATTGCAAGCTTCTAGGTTCTATGGATATATTTCTCTTCATATTCATGAGCACTTCAAGAACAAGGTATGTTTTCTTTATTTTTCTACCCCAAGTTTTTGCAAAATACCTGGCATTAACAGGTAATTTACTAAATATGTAAAATTGATGGGTTGATTGATGATGGGAAAATAAGAAGATGCTGTCCTCATCTTAGATTAATTATTTCTAGAAAACTAAAATATCATTTTAAGTTAAAAATATTTTAAGTTAGAATCATAGGGTCACCATACTATAAGCTCTGTGTTGGCATATTTGGAAATGTTAAAGAATGATCCCTGAGAGCTGGTCAAACCTGTGTTTCAAGAGACTGGAGGTTGAATTAATGGGATGCACAGCCTTTAGGGGAAAAAAATGGCCATCCAACTTACGTAGATTGCATCTGAATTCTTCAACGTTAGGGACATACTTGTTTTTCTCTAGAGTGATAAGGTCTCACCTCAGATACTGATTCATCACACAACTGCCAGAAGGACATTTAGTGTTATATGGAACATCAGGCATCCCCAGGACATGGCCTAGTTCATGTGACATCACTCCTACGAGAGCCACATTGTTCTTTTTTTTACCCTGGAAGAAAGTGGAAACTTCTATTACTTCTTATTCAATTAGTTCTCCGCTTCTCTTCCCATCATTGTTTATTGCAAAATGTTGAAAGAACATCTGCAATGGTTGGGTCCTACAAATCCAATAAATACTGGTGCTCAATAAATATTTGTTGAACTAATAGATACTAAATTCTCAGTAAACCATGATTAAATTAATTGCATTCCTTATAGGAAGTGCTAATAGCTATTATATCAGAGGTCTCCAAAACCTATTGTTATGATGCTCATGTCATTAGCTGTGCTTGCATCTACATGCACCTTTATTCCTTGTCATATTTCTCTGGACACAGATACTGGGAATGACTAATTTAGAGTTAGCCCAGGCCACAGAAGGTACTGGGATCCCCTTTCTGTTTCAATAATCCTGCTCTTATTCCCTAACATGTACTAAAGAATGAAGGTTTCTGGGAAGGCTACTATAAGGGGATATTCTCTTTTATAATCCAAGGAATCTTCAGTGCAATAATCTAGCAGTAGTTTCATTTTTACTTTGATTTATTGATTCCACAAATGTTCACTGTGCCAACTCTGTACATGTCATTATGCTGTCTTCATAAGGGACATAGAGGCACAAGGAACTTTAAGTTTACAAACCTCAATAACAGCCACTGAAGATGGGGAACACAAGGAATTCGAGGCCGCCATTCCTACACGCCGATTGTTGAAGCCAATCCCACTATATGAAAGTTACAGATACATTGTTAAAATCTGAGTCTTTAGAACCATCAGCTTTTGTTAATTATGTTACAGAATTCCCTGGCTGCCCTAACTTTCTTATTTAATATATTCACTAGGCCCTAGAAAAGCCTCTACTATTCCATAGCATTATAATGACCAAAGATTGTTATCTCATATCCAAGAGCTCATTCTAGTGATCTGATACAGGCCTACAATATTCTCACAGGTCAATTGCTCATGGTGGAACTTCAAGCATTTAGACAATTGATAAGGGAGATATGATTGAGCAGAAATTTCTGCCAAGGAACCTCAGGGATAACTATCTACCACTCTGCCTATGTACACCTGGGCCTGGCCAGTGTACACTCACCTGAGAAGCTGAGCATGGTCATGTATCTTCTTTTTCCCCAGGTTAGAACGATGCCATTTCAGGAAGTTGTTAAAGATGGTGCCTGTGTCGGGCACCACCTTTATCTTATCACTGTCAGACCAGATTTCCATGCCTACCAAGGCCACATGAACATCTATGGTGTTATAAATCTGTGGAAAGAGCATTTTTCTTTATGAAAATATTCAGTATTCCTTTAGTGCTTGAGAGCTTTTACTAACCACAAGTGATGGATAAAGTGATGGACCACAAGTGATGAATTTCCATTTTGAAAGCAAAAATCCTAGAAGTTGCGTTCTACAAAATATGTGATTTTACCTTGATGGTGATCATTGCTTTCCCCAGAACTGCTGACCTAAAGGCACTGTGACCTTCTTAACCCCATGCTGGTGGGATCATAGAGAAGCTCCAAGCTTCTAGGCAGAAACAAGGTTTATGTGACAGATAGCTCACCACATTGAGGAGGTTCACCACGTCAAACACGAAGCTTCTTATCAGCGTTAGATTCTCCTTATAGTTCTTGTACTGTAAAATACAAAGTGCAAAGTATAATTAAATACCAAATTAAAGTGAGAATGTTGATGGGGTACAGGATTTTACATTTTAAGAAAAAAATTATACATTTTAACATAATTAACATCTATTTATTCCATGATTAAATTCTGTATAACTCTGTGCTTCAATAAATTCTATTTCAAATGTTAAGAGTTTTTTGGTAAAAGTTAGGCATTCATATAAAATGTTAGTGTTCTTAATTTTTAAGTTAAATAAATTGAATTAATAATTTGAATGTTTTTAAACCAATTATTAAAATTTGATTTTTATAAAATTTTATTATTAAATTATTGATAATGTATTAATAATTAATGATTAATTATAATTTAATTAATTATAATTGTTAACATACGTTATTAAGTTAGTATTATTAAAATTTGATTACAAAGCAATATTTGCTAGGTAGAAACATAGATTCTAGCATGTTTTTTCTGTATATACAGTAATATAATTTATGTTACATATAGTTTTTTTGTCAACTTTATATATAATAGTTATATTAAATATATATTCATGTTTTAAATGTAGAAATATTTTAATAACTCATCCTTTTTTATTTCTCATTTTGTGGTTGACTTTCTATAGCTATCTGGTATTAAGTATATTGTCCTCATTTGAATACTTTGGTGGCAGATGGATATTAAAGGCAGTGGGGAGATAAAAACTATTGCTGGCCAGGGAGGGAGAACAGCCAAGACCACCAGGTGGTCAGACAGCATTGCTAGCTAGAATAGCTTACTACTTGCTTTTTCTTGATAAGTAAACTTAATAGTGGACTAAGCTGGCCAGGAGGCACACATAGTTCATACTCACAAAGGCATTATCCAGCACCAAGAAGAGATCAATGTATTTTTGTGCTCGAAGGAAATCTTGCTTTACAAAGAATAAAAGATCATTGTTAATAATTATCTTTATTCTAAAAGATTAAAAAGCTTACAAATATATTTTTCCCCATGGAGAGAAGTTACACTGAAGAATAAATAAATACATAACAGGCTTTACACGTGCCAGTCATTGCTGAGCACTCGAGTCTATCTCATGTCATTGCTGAGACAATAGAAATAAATGATGAGCTAAGAGAATTATGTATACTCACCTCTGAGTTTTCCAGGGACCTAGAGGTTCGAACCAGGCCTTGTTTCCTGTCAACACTCCTCACACCACATGTCTCATTAGTTGGGTCTAGTTCCTCTTGGCTATATACAAAGATAGCATGTTCTTTCTGGTTGGAGCTTTTCAGAGGTTTTATCAGATATCTTTGCTCATGACGTGTGAAGTATCCTCTGTGAAATACAAAGACTTGTAGTTTAGGATTTCCTGACACACAAAGTCATGTTTACTCCTCAGGATGCCTCTCCCTCATCTTAATTTCACACATAACATTTTCATTCATAGATCTTTCAGTAACTTGTGCTAATTTAAGTGATAATCAGTATTTGTCAACATAAAATAAAGCCTAACTTATTTATCAAGAGAATTCTGAACAAGAATTACCAAGATAAAGCAATTCCAAAAAATTTGGAATTTGCACCATGAGTGTGGGAAATATTTTCCCACAGTTTATTTACCCATGTAACAAATATTTCCTGGCATATTCCAGGAATATAATGGGGAGTGGAGTAAAAGAATATTTAAATGCCAAAAACCACAGAGGAGATAAAGAATGATTAGTACACCAACCAGAGTAACAAGTCAGGACCAGTAGTAGTTTAAAGAATCTTTCTTTTTAGAAAAATAATTAGTTCAAAAATAGAAAGCAAATGAATATGATAAAATATTACAATGCCAACACAGTCATTAAAAATGATATCTGTGAAGGTATTTTATGAGTTGGGAAACACTTATGATGTCATGTTAACTATGAGCCACGTTGGAAGAACAATTATGTGTTTCATTTCAAATTTCAACCGCGTGAAAGATATATTTGTCTATATGCATAAAAGGCTGCAAATATGGCAAAATACTAATAATAGAGATCACACAGAGGTCAAATTTTGTAGTAGTTGTTATTATCTTATTTGCACTTTTTTTTTACTTTCCAAGTTTTGCCCAATTGACAAGAATTAGCCATGTCAGCAGACATACATATACACGCTTTAAAAAATTAAGTTCAACTGGATGGTTGCAGGGTAGAATCTTTTAGAAAACAAAATACAATTGTTGCAGAAAGCAGGGTGGATAAACTTGAAAGTGGATTCAGATATCATTTTTCTTTCATTTTTTTTCAGATATCATTAAAGTTCAGGGTGTAGCATTTGTGTTTAACATCGCCAAGCCTGACTCTTCTTAGCACAGCAGATTATGAAACAAGTATAAGGGTGAGACTCTATTCTTCACTTTAAACACAAATAGTCAGAATTTTAGCAATGGAGAAAAAATTACCAAAATAGTAAGGATACATAATAATGTCCTGGAAGAGCTCATCCTGTATAACAAAATGCTGCATTATGTTTGATATTTTTGATAGTGGCTCTCACCTTAACCCATCACAGGTACTAATGCTGGCAACAGAATCCTTTTCATTTAGGATGTTTCCTTCATAGTAACAATGTTCCTGGAGTGGAAAAAAAAAACTAGGCTTTACAAGAAAAAAAACAACAACATATGTATATGCATATATATATATGCTATGAGGATATATGTATCACTCAATATATGTGAGAGGAGCTGCCATCTTGAATATGCAGGAAAGTTCTTCAAGTAATGGCTGTGGCCAGACCAACTCCCAGAAACAAAAACAGTGAGAGCCTTAGAGGTTTTATGAATTGCTCCACAGCTAACCCTGGAAACTCCCCATATTTTGAGGCTAAGCTGTTTTTCTGACCCTAATTTGCACTAAGGGGAAGTCCAGGGAGGTTAAACCTAAGTGGGCTCATGGTGAAAGTGGATGTTGCCTCTGAGATGTAGCTAGTTCCCTTGGGATTCATAGTACTCTTGTTGGGCTCTCAGGTTTGGGGGCCAACTTTCAAGAATTAGGCTCCCCTGTACTGAGTCTCAAAGGCACTATGCATCACATGTTAATAAAACGAGGCACCTATTTTGGGGGACTCTGGAGTCCTCTAGATGCCACACTACTGCTCTTGAGCTCCTCAGACTAACTGATTGTATCACCATTTAATTGGTCTATTAGTGGAACCCCTTTACCAGCCCCAAAACCCAGAATATGTGTCTACAACTAGAGATTCAGACATGGTTGCTAGTCTATATTGGTAAAGTTAGGGGGCCACTTATGTGGAATGATCTAAGAAAGCTAATTTTAAAACTCTAGTTAAAAATAAGCTGATTTGCTTCAGGATATGAAATTTCACATCTATGTTTTCCCCTCTTTGGAAGAAACCTTGTCAACTTAAACATTGTCTCATAGATGACCTGGAAAAGGTACTGCATTAATGTACCATTAGCCATTAACATTTGAGCACGAATTAATTCATCAGACACTTTCCTCTGAAGATAATGTTAGCAAAAATCCAAATATTCATGAACTAAGAATTTTCGTGAGTGAAGGGAACAAAGAGGCATGTTGTGTCACAATTTTGTCTTTTATTTTTTTTTTAGAGACCCATACATGATTAGGGTGCCCTAGAGGATGGCTCTGAGAAACTCTTCTTAGCTTGGGAACACCTCTTGATTGAATCTTTTTTTTTTTTTGATGTTTTACAATATCAAATTTATTGAGGCATAATATGCAAATTCTAAAATACACCCATTCTAATTGTACTTTTCAATGAGTTTGGCCAATTTTATAACTCTGTGTAACCATGACTACAATTAGGATGCAGGATATTTCCATTACCCCAAATAGTTCTCTTGTGTCTCGTCCCAAGTAATTCCCTCCGCCCTCGTCCCTGGGAAACCCCTGATCTGTTTTCTGTCATTGTGGATTAGATTTGTGTTTTCTAGAGTGATTGAAACTTTTTTGTATTTTCTTCCCTTTCCTCCTTGATTCTCTATGCCATGATTCTTTATGTCTGACATCTAGGTCCTGGCATTATCTAAAAGATGGAAGTTTAATCAGATATAAAAATACTAATTAAATAATTGATGTCTCATTGCTGACCCCAGGATGAAAGCATGTATCTTCAGAAAATAGTAAATAGTGACATGAGCTTTCAAGTACCTATAGAGGAGAATATTTCTAACCTATGGAGAAGATGGTCTAGGGAGAAGTGAACCTTTGGTTGCTTCTAAGAACGTGACACTTAAAAGCCTCCTGCTACTCCTACCTTTAAAAGCTGATTGTGGTTTTCAATCTGTTGTCCCATTGATTACAGACTAGCACTTTCCTTTCAAGTTCTTTGATATATTTTTTTAAAGTTGTCCCTGGACCTATGAATTTAACAATGCGAGTAGCAGATCCCAAAGAGTCCTAGAAAGCATTCAGACCCTACCACGTCCTCAGGGTGTGTGGTGATTTCCTCTCCTCTGGGTGAGTAAACTGTTTCAGTGTAGTCTGGCCCCAGCAGATGCCTGTAGAGAGCAAAAAGCTGAATTAACCCATCAGGGTGGTCATAAAGGCAGATTTTCCTGATTCAATCTTCAGCACTAAAGAAGCAAGAATGTCTACCATGAGAAATAGCTAACATTCTGATTCATTCATCCATTTCCAATGTTGGAATCCTGCTGCTGAAGCAAATCAAAGTGTTAGTTATACCTGTTGCACCTGAAGGAGGAAATCCTCTCAACCACTTCTCAGCTGCAGATTCTCTGCTTTCAAATGAGTTATTTTGAGATTTTTTTTTTTACACCAGGAACACAACCTCCACAGAACCTCTGAAGGGTGCTGGGTCATAAATATACATAAAGGACCATTGTATTCAGGGAGAAGTTTTCTATCTACTATAGAACCAGCTGAAGCCCCATCCCCTGGGATTTATCTCAAAGCTTTGTACCTGAATCAGCCTTGGACCTATGCTTTTATAAACAACCAACAGAGCAAATAGACAAACTACAGAATGGGAGAAAATATTTGCATGCTATACATCTGATAAAGGGCTAATAACTAGAATCTACAAAGAACTCAAGCAAATTAGAAAAAAAAAATCAAACACCTCCATTAAAAAGTTGGCAAAACACATGGACAAAAGCTTTTCAAAAGAAGATAGACTAATGGCCAATAAACATATGAAAAAAATGCTCAATATCTCTAATCATCAGAAAAATGCCAATCAAAACCATAATGAGATATCACCTAACTCTAGTGAGAATGACTTTGCAAAAAGTCCCAAAACAATAGATACTGGTGTGGATATGGAGAGGAAGGAACACTTATACACTGCTGGTGGGACTTCAAATTTGTGCAACCTCTATGGTAAATAGTATGGACATTCCTCAAATAACTAAAAGTAGACCTACCATTTGATCCAGCAATCCCACTACTATTTAAAACCAAAGGAATTTAAAACCCAAAGGAAAAAAAAAGTCATTTTATCAAAAGGACACTTGCACTAGAATGTTTATTGCAACACAATTCACAATCATAAAGATGTGTAATCCACCCAAGTGCCTATCAGTTCATGAGTGGATTAATAAAATGTAGTATATATACACTATGGAGCACTACTCAGCCACAAAAAATGAATATCTTTTGCAACAATCTGGATGGAACTGGAGACCATCCTCCTAAGTGAAGTATTGCAAGAATGAAAAAACAAACACCACATGTACTCACTATTAGATCGGAGCTAACCAATCAGCACTCATATTCACACATGGAAGTAAAACTCAATGGAAATCATGCAGGTGGGAGGAGAGGGGAGGGAAGGTGTGAAATCATACCTAATGGGTACAGTGTATACTATCTGGGTGACAGGCACACTTACAACTTTGATTCAAGCAGTATAAAAGCAATCCATGTAACCAAAACATTTGTAGCCCTGTAATATTCTAAAATTTTTTAAAAAATGAAGAAAAAGAAAAAGAAAGTAATGGAAAGCTGCATCAAAGGTTTGAGTTTACATGGGTAGAAAAGATGTGCAGTAAGTTCCTGGAAGGTCAAGGAAGAAAGTCATTTATATGTGTAGCTCTTTTTGTTTTACACTGTGCATATAATTTCCAAGGAAAGCATCAACCTTCTTAGGCAACATTAGCACAAACTAAAGCTTAATATGCTTTGTGACTTCTATCTCAAACCACACTGAAAAGAGCCTCAAGAAAATCTTTTTCCATATTCTTTTAATATAATAAAGTTATTAGACTTTCAGGAGGTACGACTTACTTGGTTTTTTGTAGATGAAGAATGACTTCTTCTCCATTTAACATAATCTGATACTGAACTTCAGGTTCATATCTTTCCTGAAAATATTTAATGGTATAATTACCTCAAACAGTTTGTATTTCTGAACCTATGTGATATAGTTACAATGTAATGTGTAGTATATTCTGGAATAATAATCATAAATGCATATAGGATAAAAGCAATTCTCTTATGTTTTTAAGATATATAAAACAAAGCAAGTTGTGCATTACGAAGGACTTCCAAAAGGTACAACCACATGGTGATAATACTTACAGATTAAACTAACTCTCATATGTGAGACAAGGACTTATCATTTGCCTTAGTGTACAGTATACTGTCCTGTGTGCCACAATGGATCACCACAGGGATGATATTATAAGATTTCTATTTTTCTTACTTTAAAACCAAACCAAATCCACTAAAGAAAGCCAACCAACAACCTACTAAGAATTAAATAAGGTGAAATGACAAAATGAGGGAAATATTCATAACAATGGAATAATCAAAGAGTTAATATTCCTAATACATTTTAAAAATCATATTAACTGCTGAGATAAAGGTGAATTGTCCATTATAGACCACATGGCTGAGGAAAAGGCAATTCACTGGAGAAAAGGGAGTGGGAGATGAAAGGAAGACATGAGCTCAGTGAGGCTGGCAGGAACGACAGAATCTCATTCTAGAAACAGCTCCCCTTCCTTGGCTCCTTTTTCCCCTACCCCCCAAACTTGAAGAAATTTCAAAGCAGCTTTATCTTTCCTTATGAAGTGAGATAGATAACTCCCTGTTGCTTAACTGTAATACCATTCTGAGAAATCATATCTTTTTTTCCTGTGAGAGATCCCCTCTGCAAAGGGGAACTATACACGGGGGCTCCAAGGTGAAACTACTATTAATAAAAGTGAGGTCATGTCTATTAGTGAAAATGCTCTTTCTTGTCTCTTCAGATGGCTGTAAAATCCACCACAGTCTTTCACGTCACTTACCTCTTCACCTTGCTTCTCTGTCTGGTTGTTCTCAATCTCCCTTTTGTGTAAAACGTGTAGTTTTTTAGGACGAACTACTTCATGGAGCTTTAATTCAGGTGTTTGCTTTATGGCTATTGCTAGAGAAAGAGAGATAACATTGATATAAAATATTTTAAGGTTTTGTTTTGTTTTCTTTTATTGGGTGGTTTGTTGAAAGGGTTTGGAAGACTAAATTAGATAGAGCAAGTTGATTCTTCTACTTCAGCTTTGATGACAAAGAAGTTTTTGCTCCTCCCTTCCCCAATTCTGGAAAGACATGAAGAGAAGATTATAAAATAATTCCTGGACCACAATGCCCAGAAAGGACATTGCGAGTTGGATCAAAATGTATGCTAGAGTTAGCTCTACACATGCAACCTTTGCACAGCACCATTGAGCAAGTGATAATTTTGGTAGCTTTTAGTTAGGTAGCTTTTAGTAAGGTTTTTTGCTTTTTTGCTAGGTACTTAGCCTGTTACAGTATAGGATTTACCATAAATGTGGTGTTTATATGTGGAAATGTGTAGGTTCACAGCTTGACTTTTAACATGCTTATCATGTGACCACTAGTAAAATATCCAATGATGACATCCATGGACTTTATTTGTGGTATAATATAGGTGGAAAACTGGTTATCAAATTGGTTCATCTATCAATAATCAACCTCAAAGAGAAAAAGAGTTATTTTTCCAGGACTAGTCTTTTTGACACTGTCATTCCACTTCTGAGAATCTTTCTTAAGAATATATCCTAAAATGCAGATTTTTTTAAAAACAGCATTGATTTATGAAGATATTAATAAAACTTTATTTACTAGTAAAAAGATATAATGCATAGAACGATAAGTAATTTTGGTTCATCCATTTTATAAAATATTGTACAAACATAAAATTTGTTATTTGTTAAAACATATCATTTTGAAAAAAAAATGAGAAGTTTTATACAGTGATTTAAAGTATCTTAAAATACCCAGAAAAGATTTACATATATTTTGTAGAGAGGTGGAAAATATACCAAAATGCAAGAATTAGTGATCTGGCATCATAAAAGCATATGAAATTTCTTTAAATAATCATCAAATAATTTGACTTTTATATAAAATGCCAATATATTAGGGCTTACCTTGTGTTTGAATAATGAGCCAGAAGACAGAAAGTAGGACCCAAGACATGTTGGCTACTGCAGGTAGCTGGAAAGTCACACACAGTATGAAGATGTGGTCTCCCTGGCTGTCCAGTTTTATCTTCCCCCACTTCTCTAGAAGTTGAAAAAGGAAATATAAACTTCAACTTTCCTGTAAAATTGGGGAATGTTTCTTAATAGTTCTGGGAAATTGTAAAAAAAAAACTTTCAGTGTCAAGATCATGAGAATGTTCCTCATTTATGAGAGGTATTTATATCTGTGGTTACAGCTTATTAAGGACTCACATCTGGACAGCTGTTTGCCCCTGGTGTTCTTATAGCAGTGGGAATGTACAAACTGGGATTGAGGTGCCTGCACGCATATTTACCAAACAGGCACCAAAATTGTCATTCAGTGTCACTATATAAATGGATCCACAAATTCAGAACCTATATCAGTATTCTGTGCATATTTTGAGAAACTGGCAGAGAACAGAGAGAATCAAAAAGCCACCAGGCAAAGTCCTACAAGCCAGGATATTGTAAATCTCTCTGACCCTCAGTCTCCTTATGTATAAAAAGCAGATGCTGATAATATATCAACTACCTCTAGCTTATTTTAAAATTCATATGCATTTATATAAACACATAAAAAACTATAAAGAAATGTGCAAATGTAATTAATCTCCACAGTGTTAGCCTCAACCAAACTATTCTGCATAGGAAGTATGTTTGAGGTATGCTATGAGTTCTCAGAAAAATAACAATATCTCTCGTACTACAAAAATGATACATTTTTATGATCAAAAATGTCAAAAACCATACAGAGGGTAAAAGGCTAGTTACTCAATGGCCCAACATCAAGAAATGACTTCTGTTAACATTTTGACAATTTATTTTCATCTCTCGTTTATGCACTAATAAAAGGAAAGAAATGAAAGAAAATTAATTTTAATTATATGAAGGGTTTGAGAACCTTTTTTTTGCATAACACCATAGCAAGCATTTTCATGATATTGAATATTAAGACATTATTTTAATGATTTTAGAACATTTCTTTGTGTGCATATGTAATATGTGGTTGTATATATTGATTTGATTGAATTTCTGGTTACATTTTTAGGATACATTTCTAGAAGTGGTATTATTTAGTTTAAAATGGTAAATCAATTTGAGACTATTGGTATACATTTTCCCAGAGCTTTTCAGAGAGTTAGTGCCAAATTAAATTTCTATTTATAAAGTTTTCCCCATCTAAAACACTATGCCCTCCAACTACTGAACTTCCTTTTCACTGATGTATTTTGGAGTTTCCTATCATCTGATTGTAAGTTTTAAAGTCACCTCTTTATTCTTATTTTTATTCTTCTTCTACCTTCACTGGAATTAAAAACATTTTATCCATAATATGTATTTATTTTGCTTGTCCAGAAAATAAGCACTCTTCTTATATTCTCTACAAGTTACTATTAAAATTTTAACAAAGTATATAGTATTAATATTTCTATGATCAAAGAATACATGATCCTGGAATGACTTAACTCTTATCAGTGTTCCACTCTGTGCCATCTCACATGTTGTGGTCAAGTATCTTAGCTTTACCATGATTTTGACCCCATGTTACTATTTATTTTTGTGTGTGTGTTTTATGTTAGGTCATTAAATATGAAATGTTCAATTTTGAATCAAGAGGTTAGTTTATTATATCTCAAACAAGAAGTAGAATTAATCGAAGTATGTGCTTAAACTATCAACACAGTTTTGCCATCTTAACAGCAGCTTATTTATGCCAGCAGTGAAGAAGCCTAGAGAGCGAGTGGCGATTAATCGCGAAAGGCATTTTCTACAGCTGTTGAGAATTGAATATTTTTCCTTGCAAGAAGTGGTCCAAAGCATGGAAGAAATGGTACTAAGTTGGTGCAAGGTCTGGTGAATATCGTGGATGACCATGAGAGTTTCCAAGTCCAGCTTCTATAGTTTGAGCATTCTGTTGTTTGTGTGACATGCAGTTGGGCATTGTCTTACAAGAGGATTGGCCTGTCTCTTTTGGCCAGTCTCAGCTGCTTAATCGCAAGTATCCTCAGCATTTCATCCAATTAGTTGCAGTAGACATCTGCTGTAATTGATTGACCAGGTTTCATGAAGTCGTAGTGGATAATACCAGCACTGGACCACCAAACAGACACCATTAACCTTTTTGGATGAATATTTGGTTTTGGATTCTGTCTCGACACTTCCTCTTTATCCTACCATTGTGCCAAACACTTGTGATTGTCAAAAAGAATCCATTTTTTCATCACAGGTAACAATACGGTGTAGAAATGGTTCACCTGTATGTTATGGCAGAGAAGTAAGGCAAGCTTTGAGATGATTTCTCTTCTGATGCTGATTTAATTCATGTGGAACCCATCTATCCAGCTTCTTGACCTTGCTGATTTGTTTCAAATGGTCCAATATTGTTGGAATAGTAACGTCAAACCTTGCCGCCAATTCACATGTAGGTTGAGATGGATTCGCTTCCACTACAGCTTTCAGCTCATCATTATCCACCTTGGTCTCAGGTCACCCACGTGGTTCATTTTCAAGATGAAAATCACCAGAACGGAACTTCTCAAACCATTGACATACTGTGCCACATTTGCTATATGCAAATGTGCATAATTTGCACATTTACTGTGCAAACATTTCATTGATATTTTGACCTGTCTGCACTGCATTGGTTCCAAGACAGAACTCATATTCAAAAATAACTCAAATCTTTGACTTATCCAGGGTTTCACAAAAATTGCTGTAAAAAAAAAATATTGAAAGATAATCACAAGCCAAAACGTGCATTTGCAAGACTGAGGATGTACCTTCACAATAAAAATAAAACAACTGTTAACGTGAAATGTCAACAATATCAACCATTAAACTCAGCATTTAAGGAAATCGGACATTTCATACTTAATAATCTAGTACCTATGCTCCTTTTTAAATTACTCATGTTTATCACTTTCTTTGCTTGAAGGCTCTTTAAGCACCAGTACTTTTAAATTTTTTAAAATTTAACTGTCTTCTTCACCGAACATATACATTAATAAATCCTTCTTTAGAGTTTTCTTGGAGCGGAACAAAACGGGGCCAGGAGGGGTTAGCCACGATCCCCCATCCCGGCTCCGGCCTGCAGCAGCCCCAGCTGCTCCGCTGCAGGGTGGGGGCTGGGTGAGTGCGGGCCCTGACACCTGGGGTGTGCGGTGGGCGAGGCGGACAGGACAGGTGTGCGCTGGGGGCTGCGGTGACGTGAGCCCGGCGGGGACAGTGGGACCGCAGGTAAGCCGGCCACCACCAGCAGGTGGGGTAGGGGGCTGGCTGCACGTGCGCTGGGCTCGGGGCCTGCCCCTCGCGGCTGCCGCCCGGTGGTAGTGATTATATTAATCAAAGGTGCACTTGGACCCGGGCTTTTGCGTAAAGGCCTTGCTTACCTTCTTTTAGCACCTCGTTTTTGCTCCTTCCCTCCAACCTCCCTTCAACAAGTTCTTCCGAATATGGAAAACCGTCGCCACTCTCCTACCCACCGTTTGTCAAAGTGGCCTTACCGCAGTCTGACTTTTAACTGTGCCAGTGCTGGACGCCCTGCAGTGGGCTCTTTTTCTAACTAGGACTTTCTTAGTGCTTCCCCTTTGGGAGGAAGGGAAGAAACTGAATGCGAGCCAGATGCACAAACCAGATTCCCCACCTTACCCCACCCTTCACTGTACTCGAACAAAAGAATTTTCTGATCCTTTTGGGGTTATACTGGAGCAGCTTGCTGTGATTTCTTACAACGACCAAGGCCCCAAACACCAAGCGAAGTTATTTTGTCTTCTGGAAAGCAAAAATTAAGTACTTGCCACTGGTTGAACTTCTTCTAATTAGCCAAGATTGCAAAAATAAGGTGTTTAAGAGAAACTGTTGTAGAAATAGCTTAATAAATTGACATAACTAGGGTAATTATTTCCTGCTCTTTTTATTTTAAATTATTGTGACATGTTTTGGGGCCAAGAATAGCTTGAGGCAAACGACAGTTTTCAAAAAGTATTTAACAATGTATAAAAAGACCAAGAGCCCAAACCAGGTGATTCTCAACTTAAAAATGTTTGAGTTACAAAGGCCTTCAGAGTAGGGCAGCTTTAAATCCCTTTAATTCATATCAAGTTATGCATCTTTACTGGATAAAATATATCATCACCTTTCTTTTTATGACCATATGTATAAAGTAATGCAGGCCTGAAGTAAAGATCCACTTTAGGGCAGAATGCTTTATAATTTTCATTTTTAAAAATGCATTAATAGAGAGTGCACTTCTTTGCCTCTTAGCTAATGGTAGAAATATCTAACAGTTTGGCTTATGACATTTAGGGAACGTCTCTGACTTACCCAACAATTAAAAGGGTCCAGTACCTTTTTATAATAGTCCATATATAACCTTTTTCTAAGATTTTTCACATTGAACCTTTTATTCTCCAACTCAGGTATCCACATTTTACAGTTTGGAGGCATTGTTACTTTCCTTTTAATTTCATCTAAACCTTCACCCTGGTGTTGCCAGACTAATTTTTCTAATTCTCTGAATCTGTTAATGAATAGTTTAATATATGGCAGTAAATCAATACTTTAACAGAGATTGACAGACAACAGAAAAACAAATTGTGGTTTCCTTGACACTTCAGTTATTCTGATTGTTATGTTCTGCTTTGATTAAAGTCATTGGTTGATGAAGTAAAAAAAAGTTTTCTTGGAGTAAGCACTTTCATAGTTTTTTAAAATTTTTCTTGGAGTATTTATTTCATTGTATCTTTTGATGGTAGCTTAGCTGGGAGTACAGTTTTAGGATGACAATTACTATCTCTCAGCTCTTTGGAGATATTTCATTTTACTGTCTTTTGGCAACCATCTTGCTGCTGTTGACAGTTTTGCTTTCTGTCTAGTTAATAGAAGTTAATTTTTGTTTATTAATTATTAATTATGCAACTAGTGCCAGCTCAGTTAAATATTTATTGATATCATATTAAATTTGAGTTTATACTAAATTACTACTACATTTCTAGGCAACCCAAGGTGACTCTGATATACCATCCTTGCTATTAGGATATTCCTGCAATAAAGTCTAATAATGGAGACAGATCCACAAACAGATACAATCTATGCAAATGGGAAGCATTATGATTGAGATTTGTTCATTGCGTTGAGATAGATTTTGGAAGGGGTACATCACTTGGTAGGTGG